ATTGCTGATATGATTGCTATGCAAAATAACATTCAAAGCACCCATCAGATTCGTTGGACCTCTTTAGATCTTAAAGCGGGCTAACCCACCCAGTTCAACACTTATGGCACAGCACGGTCACAGATGTAGACCAACCCACCTTCGCTATCACCAGGATCACCAAGGCCAAGGTGAACTCAGTTCCATGCTGCCCATAGTGTGAATTAATCTTAGGATAAGGTATTGGCATAGTCGGAGATTTGTGGTACCATTACAGTACAACCGACGAGTCAGTGCCAAGAGTTTGGACTAAAATAGTTTATTTCTAACACTTTGCCTTACAAAGTTCGGTCATTTGATTGGCTCATTCAGAAATGTGTGCATCCGTAAGGCTTCAGTAAAACGACACTGACTGAACCCCGTCATAACACGTTGACGCACTTGCACACATACACACCAAGGTACGCGTGAACTTACTCCAAAATGTTTGCATATACCACGCCTCTACGCGGCAAATTGTGGGTCCTTTTTGCAGCACATATGCGATTTACTTTCCCGGGGTCAGCGTAAATGTAAGAACACGTGAAACGTGACAAGCAGGTCAGTTGTTGTGGCCCGATACAGGTGAGCTGAGCATAAAGTCGTGTACAAAAAGCTTAGGTGAGCAGTTCAACCCTGTCAGTCAGCGTACTAAATCTCCTTCACCGATTGATTGATTGACAGGCTAAACTGAGCTAGAGAAGATATGGAATCTGACAAATCAGCGCATGCTTGAACTGCTACGAGTTGTGGCTTGGAAGTTCGCAAACTGACAAAAGAAACTGGTCCTATGCGGAGTGTACATACACCAGTTTGGTACGGCTATACACGCTCTATTATAAGATTGAATCTGTAAGGTACCGAATAGGAAATCATAAGTTACATCCATTTAATGCATTAGGATTCGTGTGCAGCATGGATTGCTGATAGGAAATTTATCAAATAACTCAAAATGTCACTTCAAAAATCACCCTGTATGAATATGGTGTTTGGCAACTTTGAGCTTTGCTGGAATGTTCTGGCCGTCAACATTGATGACTTCATTGAATCGAGCGACTGCAGCCTCCAGATTTCCCATCTGAAATTACAGTACCAATGAAAGCTTTTTTGTTAACTCAAGAGGATTGATTATGCTTTCATCCTTAAAAAACAAAAATTATAAGCAAATAATATGATAGTTCTAAGGTGAGGTAGATATCTGGTCCGTGCAAAGTTGCTCTAATTAACCGGTGAGCCCTACGGAAAATATCTCCCCCTGAAAGCTTCTACAAATGCACTGAAGTTTTTATAAAAGAATCAACCGTAAGTAAAGCGCTTCGATTGTTTATAGCATTTGCCGTTGGCGAAACTGTTTTTACACAATTCACTCACAAATTACAACATTTAGGCACAGTATATAAATGTCAAAGGCTCTCAGCTTACCTGTTCATGAACTTCGCCTAAGTTCAGTAGTGTTCGACTTTCCCTGGGTCTGAACAGAAGTACCATTTCGTAAGATTGCAACGCAAGCTCATAACGACCGAGTTGTTGGCTCAAGTACCCGCGTGCTCTATAAGCATCGAGAAGGAAATTACTGGGAGGTGTTTTCTTTGATCTTCCAAGCAGCATAAGTTCAATAGTCTTCTCAACCTGAGAAAGCGCCTCGGATACTCGATTTTCTAGCAGGAGTAGTATATGTTTTTGCCAATGCAGGGCGGCAAATTGGTGTTTTTGGCCTTCAGCTTCTTCCAAGTCGGCTTTGGCGTCATTAAAGCAACCAAGCTGAAGCATGAAAAGGTAAATTTTAGTCAGTAACATTTATTTCTTATAAATAATTTAAATAATAGCAGGTTTCTGTGGACATCAAGATGGGCTGCTTCGTGCAACAAAATCAAAGCCTACAGAATTGCCGAGTTAGCATTTTGCTTTTCTGTTCGTATGAAATTAAAAAGAGTAGAAGCTTAGATTTTATATGTAACACAAGGCAGTACTACGATTCGTAAGCGAGTTCTACAGGTTATATGTGCTCAAAAATTTATAGATACTCACAATGTCACTACTTTATAGCCATAATATTCTTTTGGCGGAAGTAGTGACTACTCATTCGACATAAGTTGAACCCCGCAAAATCAAAGTTTGTTTTAACAACTACCTCAACTTTCAATTCAACCTTAACCTTGACCGCAAATTTACCCTTAGCCCTAAGTTCCCCGAGATTTGCTGCAAAGTGATCCCTATTTTGGGCAACTCTCGTTCTCATGTCCCATTTCGAGACCACATAGCTCATTATTAATCTTCTTTTGTGTAGAGGTGTTGTTACTCCTTGATTTAAAATTCTCCTTTTGATTATATTCTGATCTGCGCGTAATTTCACTTTTACAGTTGGCTTCATTTTTCACTTTCGTTTCTAATGTAAATAGGTCATGTACTTCGGGTCCGCGTTAAGATGACAGTTTTATCAGATTAGGCAAGAAATCAAACTATAAAAGCGTAAAATCGTATATCAAAACTGGCGTCTGTACATTATGTCTCAAAATCGATAAGCAGCAGATTATACTCACCTTAAGATAAAGAGCAGCCCGACGACAAAGGAAGATTGATTTCATCATACCAGAGTTTGCATGAATGACTTTGTTCAGTTCCTCGATTTCCAATTCAAAACACTGCAATGTTTCACATAAGCTTTATGTAAGTGAAAAGTTCCTAAATTTTCAAGTAAACCGTTTTATATCCGAAATTTATTCAATTCCAGGGCAATTGACCATTTTCTTGCCTTCTTTAGCTTTGCATCGACTGCTACCTTCCCCGAACACTGATCAGCGCTCGGAAGAGATGGAGTACCAGAAAGTCTTTGTGACGAGGCAACTTTGCCGTCTATTTAAAAAAATATTCAACGTGGTATATAGGCACTTACGCTTGACAAGTTCGGGTGGTTCTGGCATAGGCCATACTTCATCAAACCAGGCGTCCCAAATGGTAGAAACCCAATTTCTAGGTTTTTCGTCGAATCTTTTTGAGCCGATGCGAAGAATATAGCAATAAACATTCGCTTTAATTAGCGCAAAAAAGACAGCAATAATTAAGGTCCCAAAATGGGAAACTCATAAATTTTGGCCTACCGGAAGCCGTGATTTGAAGCCCACTCATCAAAATTCAAGTGTTCTGACAGGCTGCTGGACCTAAGAACTTGAGGAGACCTGCGACACATTTTTCATTCATAAAGTTGACTAACCTTCCTGTTTCACCAAGATAATTCAGGGAAAAGTGAAAGTAATCAAGTGATTGGGATCTATCGATGATCCGCGCAGGATCGAGAAGGGGCAGTTTAATGGCTTTCCGTCTGGATGGTTTTGTTTCTCTTGGCGAGCTGGATCTTGGCCTACTTTGAAGAGAAAAAAATAGATCAGCAGCTTTTTGAAAACCTATGCAAGGGAAGCGATGTTATGTTTATTCGAGAGCGTGACAAAACGTAATGCTTAGCAATATCCCTATCAGTAAAAGTCATTGTAGTAGGTAGACTAATCGCCAATCCAAAAATTCCTTCGACTAACCTGTCTGATTTACACATCCGATATATTTGAGGATTTGGCTTTAGATTAACCAATTATACATTTTTAAAAGAAAATTAGCAAAAGCTTTGAAACCACTTTACAACCTGCCGCATTGATGCAGTCGCCGTTCATTCAAACCTGATCCAGATTCTGTTAAAAAAAACAAAAAACTGAGAAAATATCTAGGCCATGTTTGGAATCAAGTGCTTAGTCGCATTTACTGAACGAAAAGGAACACAAGATATTTGCTAGAAAGATAACGGGCCGAAAATGTCGTTTTAGTGAACGGTGTGGTAATTAAATCCACTGGTTTCTGAGTGGGCTTCAAACATTAGTTTGGGACAAATGAAAGCTTATCGTCAGGTGGATATTTTGCAATTCCTCTCGCTTTAGGCCGAAAATGGTGTTTTGGAACACAAAGTAACGGCCAGTTACAGACTCAGATAAGACAAACAGAATTATACTGGTTCATTAGAAAAGAGAAACAAACTGACCTTTATTAGTTGAGATTGCAGTAGTTACCAAGTCTGGTTGATTAACACTACCACTCGTAATTTGCTGCATAACGTCCTGGAGTTGACACCTTATCTAGGAAAATGAAATAGGCTAATGTGCCGAGAATTTACTTTTTCAATAAAATCAGAGTAATCCTCGTTTTCATCGAAATTCGTATGTTGCAGCCCTGGAAGGTCTGGTTGACTACTCCATCGTGAAGTCTACTTGAAAAAGTACGGTGAATAATGACATACCAATTTTTGCCGGGAAATTAGTGATTCGGCACTTCGACATCTTTTCCTGTGTCAAATATAGGGAACAATAATTTATGATTTCATTTTCCATGTTCGCACATTAAATTCGAGTGGCCTTAAACAAAAAATGCAGCTCTCGGTTTCTTTCTGAAATGCTGACAGTACAATAACAGAGAGTTTGAAATTACACTACCACCTATGAGTTATATTCTCTGACTGATGTTGTCAGTGCGTCTTCAATCTGTAAATAAGCACTACTTATTCCGATTCAGTACAGTAAATCAGCGGATGTAACCACAAACCATTCAGAGTTCATTTATGTAGTTAAAATGAACTCCATTCGTAAATTCCTGAAACAAGACAATCTCAAATAATTTCAATGCGCAGATCTGCAGCTTGATTAACGTCGTTTGATTCCTATTTAAAAAGGGAATTGTTCCTTTAAAATTTTAGCGCACACTGAGTTCTGTGTTTAAAGGTGCAAAATTACAATTCATGATTAAATCTTACTTTTCAACAAACTCTACAGTGGGCATTCAATCAACTTTGAATAATCTTACTTTAGGCAAGGGCAGGCATCACTATCGGTTCTCCGGAAGTCTGCAGGCACTTCAGACTTTAGGGCTAGGAAATGCGCCCAAGAAGAAAGGAACTGTGATTCTTGTAGATACGAGGCGCTTTGCATAGCAACAGATCTGGATTCTGGGGAGTCTTCTACTCCTTCAAGGTGTACGTTCTCCTTAAGAACTGACTTTATTTGCTTCGTGTAGGCTTCACTGATTTCACCTATATCAAAATGAGTGAAGTTTTTAAGGTATTCTATCATATTAATTCGTCTAATTTAACAGACACCATGGACATGTCTAATTCTAAAAGGAAATTATATTCACTATTGTCACGCTGTATTCGGTTTCAAAAGTAAGGTATTAGTCAAATTAAAAGGGTATAATTTTAGTTACGGTGCGACAGAAAATGCTGAAGTACCTGTCACGAAACGTACACGGTGTTCTCTCTTGTCACTGAAATGTGTTTTATATGTTCTTTTGTCCTTGATGAAAGTTTCTGGTGGACGGGTAACCGGCACAATCGGTGAATACTTGCAAAAAGGAATTCGAAAAAAGAGGCTTGATGATGATGATGATGAAAACATCTTTTTACGACCTTTGAAGGCGGAGTGTTAAAGTTAGTTGGTTTAAAAGGAAAAGAAATAGTTCAGTTGACTAGACTCATTTTATTTTGCCGTTTTCTGGGCAAGCTTGCTGGTCAAATTCAGTTAAGAATAAAAGATTAACGGAGGACTTTGGCAGAAGCTAAATATAACATAGACGTTCGAATTTTTTGCGGAATGATATCCCACAACTGAAGTAAATTATATAGTTTTTTCATAAATGATATAAGGAGTCAAGGGGATGCTTATCTTTGTTCTTTAAAAATGACAAACCTCTGCTTTCTTATTTGAAATTTGGGCTGTCGAGACCTCTCCTTTCGCCGAAGGATGACATACAGTTTCCCTTCCGCATATATTATCCTCCGGTTTAACGGTAGGAGAAGAATATGCCTGAAGTGGTTTAGATATAATCGATATCAATAACACCTTTATTTGTATGTCAGAATGTAGTTTCAGACATCCTTCGTCGTCTGAGCTTTCTATACCGCAAATGTTTGGATCTAGAATATTCATGCAGAACATTCGGTAAGAAGAGTCGAACTTTAAAATGGGTAATCTTAAAGTTAAATTGAACGGGAGATTCGCGTAATCATTTAAGAAATCAAAATCACAAGTACCAAATACAATCCAGTGGCTGCATACTTAGAACTCAGGGAACTCGTATATCATGTGAAAACCAGCGATTTTGGTGTATAGTAGCTGCGCCAAAAATGTTCTAGTCGGGATTGAGCGTTCCGTTGTTTTAGTAGATATCAGTATCGTTCACTCTACTCCGGTCATGGAACGGTATACTGTGGACTGTCAATCGAAAATAAGCCAGAAATTTTTATTTCCTTTTATTGCCATCGTCTGTAGTATCTCAGTATTAACAAACCCCTTTCCTCAGATTACCTGTGTGGGCTCTAAAGCGGAGTTCTAACCCAGAATACAATAGTTTGTAATGCGTCCGACAAGTCTGATGCATTCATGTTTTTATTCTACGGGTAGGAAAATGCTTCGGACACGAAGCAGGCGATTTATTTTGAGTTATTTCTCAACGCTTACTCTTACCTGCGAAGAGGGTTAGTTAAACGAAAGCTTGAAGCATGCATTAATGTTGATAAGACAAACTTTCAATAAAATTAACGCACTTTCTTCCGTTGGATGTGTAGGAGTAACCGCCACTTCAGAGTCAGATCTGTAAAAAATTTTAAAAAATTAAAAATCTCGCGATTTTCAGCATGACGTATGCTTCATAGAATTATAGTGACCCTCCCGTGCTCCAGTCACTCATCACTTAAATCGGGACGGACTTTTGTTAAAGGGTGAATGTAACTTAAATCAACTGAGCATAGTTTGCGCAAAATAAAAATTCACAATCAATAGAAGATATCAATTTCCTCTGAATAAAAATCGAATGCATTTGAGTTTGATAGATAAACTTACTCTAGTAAAGAAACGTTAATGAATCCAGAAATTGTACTTACTCGCTAATATTTCTTCCCATAACTTGATCTGCATCTGGTAGGAGACATATGATTACATAGTTTTCTTACCAGTTGTTAATGAACCCCCAGTTATATGCTGAAAGAAAGGAAATTGAATATGGTTCTTATACTTCAACGTGAAGGTATAGCAACAACTTCACATTCGGGTGCAGACAAATAAAAGATGGCATTCAGTCCTTGTGGTGGGTTGTGCGTTGCACTTTGGTGGATTTATAGGCATTTGAATAACCTTCAGGTCCAACCTTTTACATTTTGCCGCTTCTATGCGTAAAATGTACATGAATTCAAACATAATATTATGAATGTGCTCTACATCGTACCTATGAATGGGATTTGAAGTATACTATGAAACAAGCAGTTTCATTTGCATTTCGCGGGCCTTTACATTATCATACGAGTTTACGTTTCTTATCATCTGTCCTCTTATCCTCAGTGCTGATGTTTTGGAAGTCACCCTTTAACAATAACCCTAAAACTCATGTTATTCATGTCTCTACCACTATTTCAAAATTCAGTACTTTGGAGCAGTATCAACAACGATGAGGTTAAGATGATCCACTATTGGCGTCCCGAAGAACAGAAGCTCCTAATGAGGTAAATTCCTTTGTGAAAAATGTCAGGTTTTTTCCGATAGCTATAACAGGTGATGCGACACTGACGAAAAGCAGATAGATTAAGGTTTACCATTCATCTGATAAAACCCGGTCAGTGCACCATCTGCGATTTATGCCTGGGTTTTTCTGCTACTGGACACGTATAGGATTATAGAGGGCAAAAATAAAGGTAGAGTAGGGAAGAACCACTGTTGTGCTGTCCCTGTTATTATATTTTTAAATTTGGCTAGGTAAATATAAGAACGTTGGTGCCTTTAACTATCCATTTGGAGTCTCTTCGTTCCAAGAAACCGACTGGTGTATACTACTGCCGTACTTATCCATATAGATTTCAGCGCTTTTAAGCCATCAAATATTTAGTTGCCAGAATATA